GTAAACTATGTTAAAAATAGTCCACACGAGGCCCCATGGAGTCTAATTTATTTCTACCACCAATTCCTATGTGTGTCTTTTTCCCCCCTTCCTTCTGTCTCATCCCCCAGTCTTTCTGTGTGTCTGTTCAACCCTGCAGCCCTACTGTCTGCCTCTTTGTCTCTCCCAGCTCCTTTGTGTGTCTCCTTCTCCCCCAGCCAATTTGTGCACCTGTTTGTCCCCCAACTCCTGTGTCCTCTTTTCCCCCTACCCCAGCCCCTCTGTGTCTCTTTGCCCCCAAGTGCTCTTTGTCCCACTAGCCCTTCTGTGTGTCTATGTACCCCAGCCCCTTTGTTTCTCTATGTGCCCCTCAGCCCCTCTTTGTGTCTCTTTAGCCACCTCCCCTCCTGTGCACTCTTTAGCCCCCCTTCCCTACTGTGCCCTCTTTAGCCCCCTCTCTTTATGTGACCTCTTTAGCTGCTTTCCCCTCCTGTCCCCTTATGTAGCCCCCCTTCCCTCCTTTACACTCTTTAACCTTCCTTCCCTTCTGTGTCCTCTTTAGCCCCTCTCCCCTCCTGTCTGCTTATGTTGCCCCCCTCCTGTGCCCTCTTTAGCCCACTCCCCTTCTGTGCCCTCTTTAGCCACTTTCCCCTCCTGTCCCCTTATGTACCCCTCCTTCCCTTCCTGAGCCCTCTCCCCCCCGCCCTCTTTAGCCACCTTCCCTCCTGGGCCCTCTTCATTAGCCCCCTCCCCTCCTGTACCATTTTTGCCCCCTCTCCCTCCTGTGCCCTCTTTAGCCCCTCCCCCATCCCCTTATGTAGCCCTCTTCCCTGTGTGTGCTCACTTTCCTGCCCAGCCAGCCTTCCAGGAGCTCTGAGGGCCTTCAGACAGAAGGTGGAGCTTAAAACAAAGGGTGGGGCTTAGTGAGAAGGGCGGAGCCTATCGCTGCAATGCACCTCTACTCACAGAGCACTTGGGCGCTGTACACAGTGTGCACCCATCCAGGATCGGCTATGAGTGTGAGACTCATGAATGCTTATGCTTCTAGTAATCATAACAAAAGGTTTTATGAGTAATTATTCTCTATACTTGAAATTGGGCCACCAAGATTGATTTTACTGGGAGGGTTTAATACTATATTGGATTGCCCAGAAGACCATTTCACAACGACCACTTGAATTCAGATTTACTTAATAGATTGTTAAGGGTGATGTATCTATGTGAGCCATTGAGACCCAGATACCAGGGCCATCTTAGGTTAACCCTCTATTCTAGCCCCCACATGTTCAACAATTGTGTATTGACTATATCTTTCTACAGACAGTTACAAAAATGCAGAGTCATGCACTTTAAATCAAAACCCTGGTCCGATCATTTTGGGATTTAAAGGAAAATGTTCCAATTTTTCTAATATTGCTCAATACACATACTTCCTTTGTATACGGAATACGTTTGCCTGGATTCCATTTTTCTCTTTTTATATGTCAGCTCCAAAGGGCACATTCTTTTGGAATTTACTCCTGTTACAAGTCAGTTTACTGATGGATATAGACACAGTTTACTACTCTAAACTTTAACCCATATAAAACCGATAACAAATTTATGAGTCAGAGAAGAGCAAATTAGCTAATAACTTGTTTTCTTCTGCTTTGTAATTTACCAGTGGTACAATGCCTTAACCATTCATTAAAGGACCACTATAGTGCCAGGAAAACAAACTTGTTTTCCTGGCACTGTAGTGACCTGAGGGTGCCCCCGCCCTCAGGGTCCCACTCCCGCCGGGCTGAAGGGGGAGGAAGGGGTTAATCCTTTACCTTTTTTTTCCAGCGCCGGGCTCCCTCGGCGTTGGGAACTATCGGCTGAATGCGCATGCGCGGAAGGAGCCGCGCGCGCATTCAGCCAGTCCATAGGAAAGCATTCTCAATGCTTTCCTTTGGACGCTGGTGTCTTCTCACTGTGAAAATCAATGAGACAGCCACTAGAGGCTGGATTAACCCATAGGTAAACATAGCAGTTTCTCTGAAACTGCTATGTTTAAAGCAGAAAGGGTTAATCCTAGATGGACCAGGCACCCAGACCACTTCATTAAGCTGAAGTGGTCTGGGTGCCTATAGTGGTCCTTTAATTAAATAGGTACTTTAAGCACAATGACCACTACAGTTAATTGATAAACTGCTGCACTCTGGGTTGACTAAAGCAGAAGTTCATGTCTACATTATGTGTTCAAATGTTGATGTCAATGATAGACATAGTGCCTGGGCAGGCTAACTCAGTACTCTCAGCCAAGCACCAAGGATGAATTACCAAAGCACTCTCAGGGAGCAAACCACTTATGCATTAGATGAGCCCCAGCAGGCTGTAGAAACACGTTTTGTTTTGTGTTTTTTCTTTTTCTCAAAACACAGTGGAGACAGACAGTACCAGAAGATAATTTGAAGCATAGCTGTTCTGTAGTGGTTATTGCGCTTAAAATACTAATTGAAATATAAACTAATATTAATGTGTCTGTCAGGTAGAAATTTAGACAAGTGTATTTAAAAGTATGGTGAATGGCCATGTTTCTGAATATTTTATGTTGTATGGACAAGAAACAGGTTCTGCTAGTTTGGAATTTGGGTTTTATTACCAATAATATCATGGATGGGAAAGCAATGTTAGAAACTGGAAAACAAAATAAACAACAAGTACATTTAAAGGGACACTATAGTCACCAGAACAACTACAGCTTATTGTATTTGTTCTGGTGAGTATAATCAGTCCCTTCAGGCTTTTTGCAAATAAAGGGCAGTGTTTGCATTACAGCCTAGGGATACCTACACTGGCCACTCCTCAGATGGCTGCTAGAGGAGCTTCCTGGGGCAGAGCTGCACAGTGTGCAGTACTAACATTCAGTGTCTCCATCCACTGCATGGAGATACTGAACTTTCCTCATAGTGATTCAATGCATTTCTATGACGAGATACTGATTGGGCAGGGTAGTGTTTGGCTTGTGCTGGTTCTGCCTCCTTGACAGTCTCAGCCAATCCAATGCTTTCCTATGGGATATCATTGTGATTAGCTTTGATCAACACTTCCGATTATGTCAGCCAAGGAGGCAGATCAGAAGCAGAGCCAGCAGCATCAGACTGGCATCAACAAAGGTAAAGTGTTGCTATATTTAAGGGGATGAGGAGGGGCAGGGGTGCTAGATGGTGGTTTTAACACTATAAGGTCAGGAATACATCTTTGTGTTCTTGACCCCATAGTTTTCCTTTAATGAGGGAATGGCCTTTACAGTAAGCAGTAACTAGGGATTAAAAAAACAAACATGGAGTAAACATCAACCTAAGAAAAACAATGAGGACCACAGCCAGTCAGTGCAAAGAGGGGGCTACACATCCAACGTTACTCCTGTGTCCTATTCCTGGGCAATCAATCATATAGCAGCAGCCAGTACGCAATCAAAGCTTGCAGGTAACTAAACAATCCACCTTCTATTCACACGCTTGAGGGAATGTGTGTTAACAAGGATTAATTTTCTTCTCTGAAATTATATAAAGAGAGCCCTGCCTTATAATCTCTACCTCCTTAATATTATAATCACTACCACCAGAGCTGAAATAATTATTCAGGACCTGTAGTAAAAGAAAAGCATATGTGCTTAGTAATGCATGTGAGGAATATTTTTTTTTCTTTGTCAGGTTTTTTTGGTGACATTTTTTACAAATAATGTTTCAGCGCTTTCACTTTGAGCTCTGCCATAGCTCATCTGTCAATCTGGGGCCACTGCCCAGTTTCTCTTTAGAAGTATACAGCATAGGAATTTGTAGCTAATACAACATAAAAGCTTTGACTTGGTGATAGCTTTGCCTCTCACAGATTTTAAGGTAAGAAAAACATCTTCCTCACCTTAAAATGCCTGAATAGTGCCTGGGGCTAAGGTGATGGTACAGCGCTAAGGAATTTGCTGGCGCTATATAAATGATAAAATAATAATAATGGTATTCAAAAGCATATTTAGACTGTACACCGTGGCTGTAACTGCTCAGGGCTCTAGATATGTATGGCATAACTCCAAATTAGGGATTATTCTAGCCTCGGTGAGGGAATAATCTAAATTTTATTAAAGACAGGAGGCGAATATTTGCTTTACCTTCTTTACTGAAACCTCCAGCAGCAAAGAAACAGTTAACAGAACTTTTCAAAACAACCAATCAGAACAAAGCAACTATAGTATAAAACCCCTAAGCAGGCTCTTCCACTTCCTCTTTCTTTGATGAGGTCGAGCAGGAGAGCAAGGAAACCAACGAATCCACCTTGTAGCAGACACGTCCAGAGAAACAATCGTCAAGCCCAGAGAGAAAACAGATTACACTGCAAGAAAACTGAAAACATTGTGAAAGTAAACTGTCAAGGCAAGATGTCATATCCATACAATATCACTTGCACATCATAATACCTGATGAATAAACAAAGTCTACAGATCTTATGAAGACCTAGTATCTAGTATGTACCTAAACTAAAAGGCATTGACGAAACATAATTACAACACAAACATGATGAATAAAACGTACACGGATAATCATCACTGAATAATAGAAATAACCTTTATCATGTAAAACCATGCATTCACAAAACATAACAATATCCCAAATTATTTATAATAGAATAAGACCCAAATCCAGAGAGTGAACGTAAAAAAAGGGGGTGAAATATTCGTCTCCTGTCTTTAATAAAATTTAGATTATTCCCTCACCGAGGCTAGAATAATCCCTAATTTTATGACAGGACAGGAGGCTTCATATTTGCAATTTTAACGCCCAAATAGTAGAACCAGAAGCAATATGAGATAGAGGACTGAAATAAAAGGAGAATGGAAAAAACGATTCCCCAAACCAAGCAGCGTGTAGAGAAAATGCAGAAGGGACCGAATGGCTTCCAAAGTTGTTGAGGTGACAGCACCCCGAACCAAAAGTGTCCCAGAGGAACTCTCAAGGTCAGCCAATGAGAGGATCCACCAAATCCAACGGGCGAGCGAAGATGCAGAAACAGTCCAAAACGGCCGTACAAAGAAATCAACAGCTGTCCATGAGTAGACGGACAAAAGAACCAGATCCTGGATCTACATGGTCGTGTACAGCCTGTCAACAGAGCCGTGGCCTATCTGGAGAATAGGGGTACGACACAGAAAACGAATAGAAATGAAATATGTGTGGAGCAGAAGAAGACTACGTTGATACCATGACGTCAGAACGCGATGAAATACAAGATGTACTGGGGAAAACCGTAAGCGGAAGAAACTGGCGCAAGGCAAGTCCTTGTCATCAGGTCATTCCTCAGGGAAATGCAGAACACATGATATCACTAGAATTGAGGAATAGCGAGAGATAGGGCTCCCGTACGGTATACTCTTGGTAGACTGCAGACCAAGAGATCCTTAGCAATGTCAGAATCTTGAGAACGCACATGAGTCATCCACTAGCTGACATAGGACGCGAATGGCCCCATACGATCCTACCCTGAGAGGGCAACTCAGCCAGACAATGGGGACAGCCATGATAAGGACCGCCATAGGGACCCAAACATCTCTCCAGACACCAGTCGTGGCAGGCTACCCCTGTGGGACATTAAGAGACAGGGAGTCGTAGATTGCCTTCCCATGGCAAACTCCAGCAAAAAGGGGAAAGCATGGAGGACTCCTCCGAAGTGGTGTGGCCAGGCGAAACGACACTTCCAGGAATTCGGTCTTAAGCAAAGCCCAAAGTATCCTGTAGGTAAACAGGATGCGTACGCCCCAAAGGAGACCAAGCTTGGAAAACGCGTCCCTCGCCTCGCTGTGGGTCCGTCAGCCAGCTGGAGAACCGCTCCGTATGTAATCATGCCAGTACGTGAGACCCCATAGGGTGAGGCAACCAATCATTGGGGTCTCTCCATGGTCGGGTGAAGCCGTCCGCCACATGAGTGTCCAGAGTCCAGGCTGAAGTTGGTTGGGGTCCGAAACTCCTAGGTAGGCCAGGTCCCCCTATGTCGGAGTCATTAATTAAGTTTTAAATGAGCTTTGTCCGAAGGTCACATGATTCGGTCGTACCAGGCCGAAGACCCGAGAAAGCGTCATCTTGGAGCGGCTGATAGTACTGGATCCTTGAGGTATGGCCCCCATGGCGAATAACAACCGGTCAATCGACCGGGTTGGGCCCCTAAGTGTGACCCACGGGTTGCGGAGCATATGCCTGGTATTTTCCTTGAAGACGGGCATCTTGGTCCTCAGGAGGCGGAGCACCGCCTGCAGGGCCGCCATCAGGGCATGACAACCGCAATGGTTGTCATGGGCCCGGCGGTCCTGGGGGGCCCGGACCGCTCAGGTCGTCCGGCCCCACATTCAGTGGGTACATACCGGGTCGCAGGGGTGCACCCCTTGCACACAGAAAAACACACAATGCATTACACACAGACACATGTACACAAGCAATGCATCCCTTACACACTGCACCCCTTACACACACTCAATGCATCCCTTACAGACGCACACACTGCATCCCATACATACACAAACTCATCTTGCAGCCCTTACACATACAAACACAGATTCACACAATGCATTCCTTACACACATCAGGACATCCCCCACACACACACTCCACTCCCTGTGAACAAACTCATTGGTGGAACATGAAGGTGGACCCTGGGACCCAGACCTTGAGCTGTGTAAAGGGCCCTCAAAAAAATGGAGCTGCTTCCCGTTCTCCCAGAACAGTGATTTTTGTGACCACAGTTACAAACCGCCTCCAGAGAGCCTGTTGTACACCAGACCAGTGGAGCCAGATGGCAGCTAGAGCCCATCATCATCCTCATCTGGTTGTAAGTAGGCAATCTAGTATATTATTCGTGGCACTAATCTCTAATTTACCTCACATTAAAGGGACACTATAGTCCCCAGAACCACTGCAGCTTAATGTAGTGGTTCTGGTGTCTAGCCTGTCCCTGCAGGCCTTTTAATGTAAACACGGCGGCACTGCAGCACTGGTGTTAGTTAACATGGCAGATCATATGGGTGGGGCATTGTGATGTCCCATTGTGATGGGATTCGGGGGGGGGTGGGCGGGGGGCAGCACTTTGGGCGGACTGGGGGGCCCAGACCTTGAGCTGTGTCAGGGGCCCCAACATTTCTGATGGCAGCCCCGACCGCCTGGACCGAATATTCCATGAAAGACCAGAAACTGGGTTGACTGGGTGTGAGTCAGATTCAATATGTCCATTTTGATGGCGAAATCCATGCGGGTTTCTCTCATGTCCAGTTGAGGGAGAGAACCAATCGTCCAAGCCGAGCAGCTCTCTGAGGGGATGAGTGCCCTCCGTTTTGAAGTGTCAACAGGCGACATATGCACTGGGAGCATATAGCGTGGGCATGGGGCGGGAGTCCACTCCACCGCACCCTTCGCCCAGCAAGGCAACTTCAGAATGAACGCCTCTTTTGGTCATGTGTATCGCTTATGGAACGGTCTAAGGTTCCGCAACCTTTATCTTGAGTCCGGGCACGGTCCGAGAGACCTCTGCGGCTAGTTAAGGGGAAACCCTATGAATAGAGATGTGTCAGCTCAATTTGTACGTGAGGGTAACTCCGGAGAGCAGACCCAGCACTTGGATAACAAATCCGTCAGTTTGAGGGCCCGTTTTGCGGTTCTCAGGGGTAGAAACCAACTAGGTGATACCTATAATTCATATCGGTCCATTCCCAATGGGAATTTAGTCTTCTCCGCTTTCCAAGCTGTAATGCGCTGTTCGTCCCGAGGAAACATCTGTGTCCGCGTGTCATCGACATCCAGTGGTTACTCCCGGATAGAGTGCAAACCCTGTGTCAGGTGTTGAATCCACCCGTTAGCCAACGAGTACCAGGGGTGCTTGGTGTAGTGTCTAGGATGGCCGGTGGAGTGTCCCCTGTAGGGTACCGATGGTTTCTGGCAGTGAGGTCATCGGGGCGGCATGAGGACAGGACAAGTGACCTTCTGGGAACGGGAGATTTGTCCTTCAGTCGTGATTGCATAACTGCCATAGAGGAAACACTGTCGGAGTGATACCTGGTGCGGCCAGCTGGGGGTCACCCAGCGTGCAAGAGGGGGTCACCCAACAAGCACAAGCATACCATGCAGTATAGGCCAGCAGGGGAGGGGGTCACCCTCAGTCTGAACATAATCGGACACTGTAAGTATAGTAGTGCCGTAGTTAGCCGTATAATAAAGTAACCTGACATTGTCGGTCCAGCAGTGCAGATGGCAGGAGGGGGTCGCCCTCATATAACCATAACCGGGCATTGCAGATCCAGCAGTGCTGTCAGTATCCAGAATCTATCAGATAAATAGCCTAAATACAGCAACAGATGTTAACAAGTGATACAGCAGCTACAGAGCATGAAGTGGTATAGGAAATAACACAGAATAAACTGCCTAGCTAAACCCAGCAATAAACTGCCTAGCTAAACCCAGCAATAAACTGCCTAGCTAAACCCAGCAGACAAACTGTTAGAACAAATCCAGCAAAACCCTGCCTAAATAAAACCAGCAATTAAGCTGCCTAAACAAACCTAGCAAAAAGACTGATTAAATAGACTGTTTAAATAAATAAGCAGCATGTAGGATAAAAAAAAAACAACCAAGAGCAGAGACAACTCTCACTCACTTGCTCACTTGGAGGCAGCAGCAACAAAAGAGGAAGTGGAAGTGCCTGCTTAGGGGTTTTATACTACCGTTGCTTTGTTTTGATTGGTTGTTTTGAAAAGTTCTGTTAACTGTTTCTTTGCTGCTGGAGGTTTCAGTAAAGAAGGTAAAGCAAATATGAAGCCTCCTGTCCTGCCATAAAATTAGATTTTCGTACATAGCACTCACGATTGCATTGTGCAATGTAGTGACCTTGGTGCTTAGAGAGTCCCATCAGAGTTTGTATAATAAGTGAGTACTTTTAACAAGAACAAAGCATTTTATTTACATAATTGCAATTCAAACACATTAACCATAATTCAAGTCACACACACACACATTGCAGTGATTGTTATGAACATTGTCAGGGTTACTCACTGAAATGAGAATGCAAGGTTTGTTTCAAATTTAAGACAAAAATAGACTGGATAAAATTCTCCCAGTCAACAATGCTTCCTGATATTCCTATTTCAACCTTACATTTGAAATTCACTTTAAATTTTCACTTCAGTGAATAATTCTGTGCGATAATCTTATATCAGGCATGTCAAACTCACGGCCTGCGGGCCGCATGCGGCCCACAAGGACCATCTTTGTGGCCCGGAGAGCCGTGAGTACATGCTGGTGTTACAGCAGAGTAGGCACCTGTTTTCTCCATATTGCAGGTGCCTACTCTTTTCTAACATTTACCCGGCCGGGGAGGAGGTTCGCGAGGGAACTCAGAGTTTCAGCTCCTCACTGCTCCCTCGCGCGTGCCGAATGAAGTGAAGCCGGGCGCCGGAATATGACGTCATATTCCCGCTCCACTAAACCGCGCGAGGGAGCAGTGAGGAGCAGGAAGGACCCCAGGGAGATGCCTCACATCAGCTCCAAAAGGTAAGAAGCAATAAGGAAGAGTGTGTGTGTGTCTGTGTCAGTGTGTGTGTCTGTGTCAGTGTGTGTCTGTGTCAGTGTGTGTGTCTGTCAGTGTCAGTGTGTGTGTCTGTCAGCAACTATGTGTGTGTCTGTCAGTGAGTGTGTGTGTGTGTGTGTCAGTGTGTTTGTCCGTCAGTGAGTGTCCTGTGTGTGTCTGTCAGTATATGTGTGTGTGTGTGTCAGTCAGTATGTGTGTGTCTGTATGTGTGTGCGTGTGTGTCTGTCACTGAGTATGTGTGTGTCTGTATGTGTGTGTCTGTCACTGAGTATGTATGTGTGTGTGGGTGTGTGTGTGTGTGGCCCACATAAACTTAAACCTTGTTTATGTGGCCCGTGCCACACTTTGAGTTTGACATGCTTGTTTTATATGATTCAAATGATCTGAGTGGAGAGGCAGAGGCATTTAGATGTCATATAACTTTAGAGATATAAAAATATGCAGATGTTTTGACACCAGACACTCAACCTGTTTGTCATTTAGTGACGAAGATTCTGAAGATACCTTTGTGGCTTTAAAAAGTCAGCCTCCATCGGCCCAGTGCATGTTTGTGGGTTCAGACCTGTTTGTGCAAACTGTTCTTTTTTTTTAAACATTCTTTATTTTTGAGTTTTGAAAATATTGTATGTATTCAATGGAAACACACCGACAAAACATTTTGTTACA